ATCGATGAAAGATTCTGTTAAAGTAAATGTTTGTCGAAAAGCAGACGTATGGGCATACAATAGTGGTGTTAAGTATGTGTTATACTAGCTACTGATATTTAGGCGTATTACACTATTTATTTTCTTTTATCTTTCTATTTCAAACGAATGAAAACGCACAAAAATATGACAACTGGCGTTCCGTCTACGCGGGTAAGTCAGTCAAAGTGCTTAAACTTTTCTCTAGGGTAATGAGTATGATTGAATAGACGAGCCTAAACCGCATTACACTTAGGTCTCTCAACCCCACTGTAATCAAATTTTCAAAGCATGTTCCTTGACACATTACGGAACCCGTTACCCATATTTCTGATTGGTGAAAGTAAACTCGCATTCGCCATATGTTGGCAACGGACTAGCTAAACCTACAGCATCCACGTTATTGTCAACTCGTTGTACAGCTGCAAGAAGCGGGTTTCAACCTCATCGATAACCAGTACACGGGGCCCAGGTGCCGACGAGTGGATACGACGGCTTCATTGGCAGTGTTAATGAACAACGATTATTAGCTGTGCCGAGAACAATTATTGTACATGTGGAAGAAACCTAAGTACCTCAGCTTTCACTGCCGAAAAACCGTTTTGCTAACGCAACTGGTTACAGCTGCGAATTTGAACACATTGCGCTGGAATACATTACGATATTGAGAGCAGGCGGGAGGTCCCTTGTCAGCTCCATAAATTCCGAGTCAGCACAAGGTGAGCGCTTTCTGTCTGGAAGCGTTAGTTCTTCGGAGTTCAACACCTTTGAAGTAAGAGCAGTTGGACCCTGCCATGTGCGCTAGCTGTGTCTAGTAATAGCTAGAACTTTCCTCTCTGTGAGTCATTGGTGTGTTTCGGCAGACTGTTCCAAGCATTTATCGCTCTGGAAGAGAGGACAGCTTGCGGACGAGCGCATCTTGTCCTCGGCTTAAAAACATTCCATTTGTGGCCACTTGTCGAGCTGCCCACACTTAGCTGGAAGATTTACTACAGCTCACTTCCAATCTCTCCCTTTAGGATGCATCTGGTGTAGAGATCTCCGCGACCGTGACGATATTCCATGACGAAAAGTTTCCATGCCTTAAGTTGAGGAGTGTACGGAAGATCCGGAAGCTCCGATATTGATTTTGAACCGCGCCTCTACACCTTCTCTCCCAGACCAGGTTCACGTTTCGTTAGGGGGTAAGCTGCCGGAAGACCATATTCTAGGATCGGACGGACATGCAAAGCGAACACCTTTCAAAAGATCTGCGGCGTTAATTTACAGAACGATCTTCGCAAAGCCCAGCGCTTTCAGTTGGCTGCCGCGACCTTTTTCTGAGGGTCAAGTGATGTTTGAGATCATGCGAGACGATGATTCCCAGGTCCTTCTTCTTGAGGAGATATCCTCCATGATGATACGCACCGAAAGGCTCCGGGTCAACAATCGGGGGAACGGCACATTTGTCACGGTGTATCGGGAGTCGCCAGTCAACGGACCAGTTACACAGCTGGTCAAGCGAAGTTTGGAGTCTGTCGGCATACTCTGAGCAAGCTATTGCAGACCACAGCTTGAGGTCATCAGCATAAGCTAGACAGTCGAGTTGTGGTGCCGCTGGAAGATCGTTGAAGTACAGTTTAAAGAGCTCTGGTCCAGGGACGAAAACTTGCGAACCCCACTGGTCATAAGCACAGAGACAGAGTGTTTGGTTCCCCTTCACTTAAATGGTTAGTGTTTTTAGGAAGTCTGAAATTCAGGAAAAGAGGTTTCCGGTGATATAAAGTCCCTGGAGTTTGAGCAGAAGCCGATTATACGGCACTTTCTCAAATGTTTTGCTGAAGCTATTTAATACGGCGTTAAGTTGCTTCCACTCGTCCGGTGCTTTAACCCATGCGTTTATGGCACCAAGCAGGTTGGTGATGCAGGATCGTGCCCTGCAGGATCTGTGCTGTGAGGGGAAAATTGCCCATAAGCCTTCCTAGTAAGCGTTGGGAGCGCTTGATTATCCCCTCCATTGTTGCGCAGACAACATACATCAGACATAACGAGTGGTCGTTCGCAGGGTCCTGCCGGCCACTTCCTTTGTATTTAGGCGTTACTATTCCTACTTTATAGGCACTAGGTAAGCGGCCGTCTGCAAGTAAGAGCCGGAATACTTGGGACATTGGGTAGACGATGTAGTTGGCCAAAATCTTGAGGAATGATACGGCCGGGCCTGATGCAGAGTTAAGGTTCAACTCACGGACTAGACGCACGAGGAGCTTGACCTTAATTTCAACCTGCTCCAGGCTTGGGGATCGCGTGGGCACTTCGTTCCTGGGCAACGGTAGTTCTAGCGCGTAGACTGCTGAGCCCTGCAAGGCCAGTAGATCGGCTCTTTCATCATCGTGCTATAGAACAATTCTTTCTCCAGAGCCAGATAGAGAAGGAATACAAACACCCGCTTTGGTGTTTCGCCTCAGGTCTGAGGAAAGCATCTTCGGGCACGCTCGGAACTGAACGGCCAGGTATTGTTCGTATTGGGCTCGCTTCGGCCGCTTTTTAGGGGGCATAACTTTTGAACCTCTTTGTACTTTAGGTAACCCGAGGCTAGTTGCGTTCGCTTGAATAGTTCCAGAGTTTACGCGTCTGTTCAGTAAGGACCTCAGTACTCGGTCGACCCATGAGGTCCTTTGTGAAGTGGTGTGCCTTTGTACTTCTGGACGGCAGTTTCCATGATGGACGTTATCTTGGGCAGTAGTCGGTTTTATGCTTCCTCGACTCTCAGGGGCTGTGGGATAATCCAAGCTTGCCACGGCCTGTAATCTGAATGGATCTGTATGCCAAAAGTTACGGAGATATGCTCCGCGGTCAGTGTTGATAAGACGTCGTGTCCACAAGAAGGAGACTGCTGAGTGGTCACTTCGGCCGAGTGGTCGGAGTGGCTCCAACTCATAGAGACCTCAGTGGGCATCGGAATGAAAATCAGACCAAGGATGTTTGATGTCTGGCCCAAGGACGTCCGCATTGGAGTAGTGAGGTGCTGAAATAAATCGTATCCCTGAACAGCATCGAGAAGCCCCCTCTCGAATGAAGCTTGAGCAAAAGTACATTGAGAAAGGTTCCAGTTGATACCCGGGTGCATTGAGATCACCCATTAGCAGCTAGTTGCTGCCTTTACCATTGGTTTTGTTTGAGTCCAAGAGATGCGAGCCTGGGCCCGAGTGCGCTCTGTAGGCAACTCCAATTGTAAGTGCTTGGTGTCCACCTTGTATCTAGTACCAAAGCATTTCTGCGGCAGCGTTATTGTCGTAGAACACTTCAAGGAGGTGAACTTTGAGTCAGGCTTTCGAGCAGAGAATCCCCCTCCCGTCTTTCCATCAGTATGATCAGCTCGTGAGAGTTGATATGCCAGTATGCTACTTTCTGTGTCCAAGGCCTCATATGACAACCAGGTTTCTGTAAACGCAAATAGATCTGGATGGTGTTCAGAGATGAGAAGTGGAATCTCGTCAAGTTTGCTTTTGAGGATTCGCACATTGGCAAGTACTACTCGCAGACCTCTGTTTGCCCCAGTGGGCTGGGTAGTAGAAAGATTGGCCGCCAGCGGGCTCTCGGTATTCACTTCATTACCCGAAAATCCACAATAGGAAGATCAGTTACACTACTGGCTCTGCGCGTGCGTAGTTCACAAAAAGCTTGTTTCATTCTAACTACAGTTTCCGGAGAGGTGGCTCAGGACGCAGCGTGTTTTGCTCTCAAGGCGCGAAGTGCGGCTGAGGATGCGGCGGCATTATTCTTCGTCTTGACAGAGGACATTGAGAAGGACGGAAATTCGTAGGGTGTTCCTGCTTTCTATCCAGGCGGAAGGCTGAGCGGATTTTGGGGCCCTGGTCCCCATCCACGAATAGAATGGATGACATTTGTATGCGGAATGTCTGGTCATCAAGGCTCCTTTCAGCTGGAGTCCCTTTGTCAGATTCCGGAACATTCGTAATAATCAAACAGCGTTCTCTGTGAGATCGGTTTTCTCTCCGTTTATCTGGATTTGCTGTAACCGATTTTTCAGTTATCACTGTCTCAAGTTGTGTGACTTGAGCTAAAACATGCTTCAGTTGCGTTGACGTTGAATTGGATTTGTTTTGGCCCCGATAGCTGCCTTCCTTGTTTTTTTCGGTTCGGAGCATGGCTCCAGCTAGCTACATTTTCAGAAACAGTGTGCGCCGCAGCCCCGTAGTTGTACTGATTGCTCAGATTGCTAACCGCAGCGCTGCATCATACAAAAGCGCTCCCGCCGACGAAGCGAATGAGGATCGACTGCGCTTGTACACGGGGATGGTGGATGGAGGCATAAAGGATGAAGCAGTTGGCGATGCAGTGTTTGTCTCGGTCCTTTGCGTTTAGGTCAGACAGACCAGATGGGACTGGTCACGTACAACCGTGGGGCACTGAGCACAGTGGAACGTACTGCCGGAGAAAGCTGTTGGTTTTAAGCATTCATAGAGGTCAAGTTTCATGTGGCAACTGGTTATGTGGGTACATAATTCACACAGGCCACATTGCACGACTTTAGCTCGGGGATGAAAGTTTTGCCGAAGCTCAGGCCGTTTGAGGCCATTGTTTTGTAGAGGCTTGACGATTCCCAGATTGTTTGAGAAAATAATACAAAACCCAGAAACCAACGAAATGTGCAGGAGTTCGCTATGCGTTACGAAGCCAACGACCAGCGCGCATACAACGTGTTCACCGTCAACAGCCTAAGTCCAGCGTTCTTAAGTTAGTAGTTAGCAAATTAGACACTAAACTCGGCGACACCTTAAGGATATTCAACTTGTATATAACGAGCAGAACCACTGAAAATTAAAGTTTTTCGTTCTTCACAAACCTTTGAAACCTATATAACAAATAATGTGTCTACTTACCGTTAATAAAATGTTTAGTTTGCTAGCTTAATGACGCTCTCCAGCTCAACTTGTTTTACTTTGCTTCTGAGTCCACCTCACCACTCTCGAGCCAATCGCAGTGCGCCAGTGCTTGATGGCGCGCTTGACGGTTTTCCTGATCGGTTTGCTTTTTTCTCCGTTGTCATCCGCTGAGGAGTATGTTATGTGATGTATGATAATCTTTTGTAGCGAGGATTACTATCGCTTGCTCGATGTGCCGCGTAACGCTAACCTGACTGACATTAAACGGGCCTACAGGAAGCTGGCTCTCATTCATCACCCCGACAGTAATCCTAATGATCCATCCGCGCAACAGCGTTTTCAAAAGCTGGGAGAAGCTTACGAGGTTGGTTTTTCTTTATGTTAAGTCATATGGCTTTTGCCCTTAAACTTTTACCGCACCGCATATGCGGTGCACGTAGATCATTGGCATTTAGAGAGCGGTAGGGAAGTCCTTTGTCAGCTCCTTTCCTGCCCGATCACTCGGTGGGTCGCGAATCGTTGCTTAGCGGTATTTCACAAGAGGCGTTAACAGCTACATTTGGAGCAGCAAGGTCTCACCTTACTCACCAGCTATGAGTCTTAAAGCCACTCGGAACATTCCTCAGTCTTGGCGTCGACTATAGATTTCAGCAAGTCGTTCCAGTCATTTACAACGCGGGTTGATAGAGCGAGAGCCGAACGAACTCTGTCTTCTTGGTTTAAACGGCTCCTAGTTGTGACCCCGTGTTGAAATATTAGCGTTGACTTGAAAGAACGCTTGCAGCCCCATCTCCACTCTCAGAATGCGCCTAGTAAAAGTCAGGTCACGGCGACGTCGAAGAAATTTCGGGGAGAACAGGTTCATTTACTGAAGTTCCGTAACTGCAAGTTGGAATTTGAACCATGCCTCTGGACTTTCTCTATCAGGCCGCATTCGATCTTGGTAAGAAGGCAGATGGCGGGTAATCCATAATCAAGGATTAGGCGCACATATGAACTGAACAATCGCGAGAAAACTCTCCGTATGCTATGGGATATCCTGTTGGCAGCGGCAACACACTAGTCCGTAAATCATGGGAGACAAGCATACCGAGATCTCACAAGAATGTTGTTTCTAAGTAACATCCCACGTCCCGAATGGCTCAGGAGCACCTCTGGGGAGAATAGCATTTTTCACGATTTATAGGCGATTGCCACTAGACTGACCACTCATGTAGCATTTCTTGACGCCTTCAATCTGCCAGCATCCTTGAGACAGGATACCTCCAACCACAGCTTCATGTCAACGTAAATCAAGCAATCCGGCTGAAGTTCTTACGGAAAGTTATGCTGAAGATTTTAAACTGTATAAATACTGACAGGATACCGCTTGGCATGAGCACAGGAGCGGAGTGGGCTTCATTTAGCTTGACTCGTATTGTCTGACCATCCACAAAATCGGCGATCCATGAAAGAACGTTCTCAGACACCGGTACCTCGGACTTTAAGGAGGCTTTTATTGGCAACCTTCTCAAGCGCCTTGCCGAGATCTACAAAACAGCCTCCAGGCGTTTTCCAACATTTAATGCCATCGCTCAATTCCCCGTAACAACAAGCAGGTTAGATGTACATGTGCGTGCACGTCGAAAGTTATGTTGTATTCAAAAGATGACGTTTATGTCCTCGAACTATGAAGAGCCTACTTGAGAATCTTTCCCATTACCTTGCACAAATTGCAGGCGCTCCATCCGAGGAAAGTTTCAAGCGGCTGATAGACAAACATTCGCTGAGAATGCTGGAATCTTGCGGCTGTCACTACAATTGCGACGAACCCTCGAGAAACGTCGTAATGCAACGACACGCATCAAACGCAGTATGATATGGAATCGATGGGGCTGACAAGGGATTTCCCTCCTGCTCTCTACAACTCAATGAACAATACGAACATTAGGCAGATAGGTCGATAATTGGTAGGGTCTTGACGATCCCCTCCTTTGTATCTAGGTTTAACAGTCCCCCCTTTTCAAGCACTCGGGAGTCATCCAACTTCAGGGCAGTGAAGAAATATCTGACAGCTAGGTGCGGCAATGCCGTCGATTACAGTCTTGAGGAACAGCGGGTGCAGCCCCTCGAGACGTTCGGATCTAAGTCACGGAGGCCTTTGGCAACAACATCAGCACTCAGTTCTGTGTGCTTCAACGGGAATGTGTGGTGCAGGAGGAGCGAGTGAGCCGCTCAGCACCATTATATCACGCACCAGGCTCCGATGGTTGGGCCACGTGTTGCGCATGCCAGCACACCGACTCCCGAGACGTGCATTGTTTGCGCGTTGTGGGTGCGGTTGGAAGAGGAGGAGGGGAGGCCAAGTGATGACTTGGTCGAGAGGAATGAAAACCCTCACTTCGAAGTTGGCGTCGGTTGGTGCATCCCGATTGCCTGGCTGGGGTCCTAAGGACGGTGAACACGTTTGGTTGGACACACTCGCTGATATGGCTTGGAGCCGGCCCCAATGGCGTTTGGGTTGTGAGTTCCTTTGTCCATCCCCCTCCTGCTTAGCATCCCCCTCCAATCATGATCTCACCTGATAGGTATAATATGACTCTTTTACGGCAGCCAGCTGTTGGCTCTCCGGAATGACGTCCATCCGTTACTGGGGACTCAGCGGGCGTGCCACCGTTTGTTTTCCTTTTCTTATCTTTTGTATTGCGGCACAATAGCTGAGGTGTTTTCCACCTCCAGCTCACGTGTAATGATGATGATGTGGATTGGAGCGATGTCACTGAGTAACCACGCCTCTATCGAGCAGACGAATGAATACTGCAGGGCCAGTAGACTGATTTGCTCCGACGAATATGGGGCAGGAATGCCACTGCCAGGTGTGCTACTTCTCCAGGTAAGAAAACAGTCTTTTCGGTGCCGTCCTGGATTACACAGCAAACTCGAGTTCAAACTGGTGCCATTTCTGAGGCTTTTTCAGGACACCAACATTTTTGCTCACTTTGTAGTCCGAATACTCAGACGCAAAGTATTTGAGCTTGAATCGGTCACATGATTTGTGTCCTTTGGTCATTAAGCAATTCAACTCTCAGTCAATCCATAGCGTTCCTCCGGTAAAGGTTTCCTTGCAGATAGGAAGGACCAGAACAACGAGCAAAATCATCTTGAAGTAAAAATGGTTCCACTCCTCATCTAAGTCCGAAATTTGAGGGATATTACAGTTCATAGTGCTAGTGGCCGTTTGCAGGCGGTCTGGATCAGCACACCAATAGTTTCGGCAGAAACTGTCTTGGTTGTGCAGAGTGAGGCGTCGAGTCAAGAGGAATCTTCGTCATCAATAGCAATACACCATGGCATTTGAACTGATGCTTAGCTGTCATAAAACCAAAACAGCCTGCGGACGAAGGGTTCTTACCGGGTAACCTTAATTCAGGGCCAATGCGACTTCACCTCGTCAACAACATACTATCACAGACAGCTAACTATCGTGCAAAGGTAAGGCGCCACCGTCGAGACAGCTTACTTGCGGCTCTTACTGCCCCCGCGTCATAATCGGCCATTACCCCGCACATAAGTAAGCATCAGACGCACGTTAAACAGGAAGTCCGACTAGGAAACGGCAGCAGACGCATCACTGGTGCAGACTGGGAACTGTGTCCTGTGACGTCTCGAGCCAAGCACAAGGCGAGTCACCTGGACTCCAGGCTGAAAGGTGAGACGGACCGACAGCATCAGTGGCTTCATTTCCAGCTGCCAAGTCAAATTTTCTCCACCTCGGGCTTTGCGCCATCCTACCTCTGGCAGACAAAACAAGGCCCTCGGTAAGCAGTGACCGGGCGCACGTAGTACATGCCAAAACCAACGCAACTTATTCATTGCTGTCCGTTGTTTTAAGAAACTAGCTTGGTTATCACTGCCTAGTACTCTCCTACGCATATCATCGTTGCGGAGACGCTGGTGCCATCCGACACCAATAATGCTTCGCAGACAGCGAGGATCAAAGATTTGAAGGCTCCGCAGGTCCTCAGATCGGAGGGCCGTCTCACTCCAATAGAGTAGGACAGCTCTCACTATAGCCTTTAAACACGGCCTTTCAGGCGGAGGGAAACTCATTTCTGTCGTCAAAGATGTCCCGGATTCAAAAAGGCAGTTCTGGCTTTTGCACTACGTGAATTGACTTCAATAGCTATGCACTCATCGTTGCTGATACAGCTACCATCGCAACAGGACTGCACCTTAACGGAGTGTGACGGTTTACGTGCCTTTTTGACCCATTGCGTCATACTGGGTGGTGCCCCTGGGCCCATTGAGAGCTACTCCTACCAGGTAGGTCAGTAGTTAAAGGTCGGACATAGTCTCCTAGTCCTCCAGGTTGGGGGTTTGAAATGAGATGGCGTTCATTTCAGTAAAACTAAATCATTACCACCACCCCGCTGCCTTGCGGACAGGCTTTTGAGCCAGAGTTTGGTTGAGAACCCTAAATCGTTTTGTCTAAGTCTGGGCGCCCTGGTAGTATCAGCTCACCTACAGCCATGACGATTTCCTCAAAATTCAGCTACGTCCTGCATCGGCCGTCGCGCAGTTCATCGAGTCGCCTTATCTGCTGCATACAGCAGGGTGGATAAGCGAAAACATGCTACCTCTGGCTCCTTTTTCACCTGTCTCTCTTACTCACCTCCTAACGCTTATTACTAACCTACCAACTTAATCGAAAGCAGCTGTAATGCCACTGGAGTCGAACCAATTGCAGCTACCTTCCCGTACCACCCACTGGACGCCTATCGGCAACAGTCCCTTATAAGGCTACACTGTCCCGTTTCTCTGGCGACGTTCAACGTTCACACTAACAGTTGAATAAATAAATTGTTTATTCTCGACAGTGCGAGACGCCTGCCTTGGCATGGTCGTGGTAATTCAACACGAGACCAGTAATCATACACATAGATTGCAAGTTAATCAGTTACGAACTGGATATTCATGAAAGTATGTGCAGATGTAGGTATAAGTACATGGGGCCATGTTGAATGAGGTTGTTAATGTAACGCTGTGTGATTGTGTTTGATCTAGTTGTCACTGTAAGAGGTCACCGGAACCTTTCGAAGTGAATGGGTGATGTCCGTGGAGGGGGTAGGATATTGATGGGCAAGAGGCGGTGACTTTATTTAGTGGCGAGTCACATCCGCCACCTTGCAGTATTGTTAAACGGACATTTGTGACTTTTTATAAAGAGAACGCTTGTTAGGCGGAAACCCACCACGTCCTGAAACACTATCGCCGAACCATATGCTGAAACGAGATTGACCCGAACCACCCAGCTGGCACCACGAGGAGTTTGTTCGGCACGCCAGCGGGCTGCACTCGCGCGCACGTTGGACACACTGGGTGTTG